GCTAATATCTACTGGGAACATATGATTACCTTTCAGAATAAAAATTGCTATTTTAGTGAAAACAGGCTTTTAGCACATAATGAAGACACCCAAGAGTCAAGGAAATAATGAGTGGTGGCTCTTGTCCCTTCTTGTTTTTGCGTTCTTCATGCCAAGAGGAAGAGCCTATGCATGAACAGTGCCACTGCCACGGAAAGTCATGCTGTGGTGACTGCCACTTCACCAGCAGGGACTTCATTGGTGGCACGTGGATCATGCAACTATTTTTTTACCTGAAAAATAGTTCTGATGATTTTGTGTGAGTACATTTGGAAAATTAAAATTTCCTAAATGTTAAAAAAAAAAAGAAAGAATGTCCTATTTTATTGGAAAGGTAGTTTAATTTTTTTTTCTTTTCTTTTTTTTTGTATTTGGCACAGGGTCTCACTACGCAGCTCGGACTCATAGTGAGCCTCCTGTTTTCAGCCTCCCTAGTGCTGGGATTACAGACTCATGCGCCACCACGCTCAGCGTGCCTGGGGGCGCTGCCGGCGTGGCATGTGGTGCCTGGGATCGAACCCCTAAGCAGACACTTGGTCAGCTGAGCAGACTTGCTGGCCCTGGGAAATTAATTAGTTTAATCTTAGTCTGCCTACTAATTTCCTCGAAGAAGACTTTTTAAAAAGTGATGTAAGCAACACCCCAGCCAGAAGCTGACCTGGGCTGCCTGAGGCTGACCTTTGCTGTATTTGAAGGTCATGGAGGCGGAGCAGACCAAGACGAGGAGTGAACTGGTGCACAAGGAGACAGCGGCCAGGTACAACGCGGCCATTGGCCGCATGCGGCAGCTGGAGAAGAAACTCAAGAGAGCCATCAACAAGTCCAAGTAAGCCGGTGCAGCCTTGCGGGTGGTGCTGTTACCCTCTTCCACATGGGCTAGGACTGGCCAGCCTTTACGCGGAGCCTAGGGCCTCTGCAGGGCCCCGCCAGGCCCTCATCCTACAAGTTCTGCAGACCCTCAGAGCCAGAGGACACTGAGGAGCCCCTGTGCCACACCAAAGTGGGAGACACAGAAAAAGGAGCGGCAAAAGCAAACCGCTATGTGGCCCATAGGCTGGGCTTTGGGGGGTTCCAGTAGTACCCGTGGCTCTGGGGCTGACCGGACAGGGCCCTGTCCCTCGGTTTACCTGGCAGCATAATGGGAACACTTTGTCTTCCCATACTTGTTCTCGCAGGATAAAATGCTGCAAGACGGGTTTCAGTGGAGCTTTTCTCAAGCTCTTCTCACTGCTACCTGCCTTTATTGTTATAAAAATAGAGTTCCTGGTGGGCAAATACAAGTGCTGGGGACAAGCCCTTGCACGAGGCCTCCAGGCAAAAGGGGCAGGACTTTCAGTGGCCTGGACCCAACAGTCAGACTGACCTGGGACAGAGCAGGAGTGCTGGGCTGCTGAAGGCCTCTGAATGGGGACAGGAGGCCAGCTTGGAGGGTTGGGCATCCGGGGGCTCGGCATGGGCCCTGCCTTCTCCCCTTGAGGGAAAGCAGCCCACACAGTTAGGAAGAGGGTGTGAGAGGAGGAACTTGGTCCTCCTCTGCCGTGTTCTGCCCACCCGGCCTCCCCGCCCTTGTCTTTGGTTTCTGCCCACTGTCCTTCAGGATCTGTGTATGCACACATGCACAGAAGACTGTGCCGTTAGCTCCTGCAGGGCGTATGTGTATATCTGGGGGAGGGGGGATGGGCACAGGACCGGGGACAGGGACACATGATGACACGTGACAGTAGCAGAAACAGGCCTGCCCCGGTGAGCAAGGCAGCATCTGCATGGGAGCACCCCCGGAATCCAGGGGAACATCACCCCATGCTTCCGCCTTTGGCTGTTTTCAAAAGCCCTCACCCCCACTGTAGAATCTTACACACTTTCCTGGTCACGCTGCACTTAACCTGTTAAGAAAACGAAGTTCTTGTGGCCCCACCTCTGCCAGGCTTGCAGGGTCCTGGAGGAAGGGAAGGTGGCTCCTTTCTGACGGCAGGGCCGGCTAGCGGCACAGTTGTGCATGCCGGGGACAGCTTCCGGCCTCCTCTGCCCCCAACTCCAGCTCGCACTTTGGTCCCACTGCTCTGTGCTTGGTGAGGCCAGGATGTGCTTGTGTGCTTTCTCGCGGACACCTTCCTTCCCATGTGCTGCGCGTGCCTGTCCGTGCACTCTGCACACCTGATGTGTGTGCTGTGGTCACGCGAGAGCGCCTGTACCCTCCTCTTCCAGGTTTCAGGCTTTTCTGTGCTCACCAGAGGTGTGCTATGTTGGCCTTGTCAGCGTTTACTGCGAGGGGGCAGTGGCGCTGCCGTCCTACCTGGCAGCAGCTTTGAGCAGCCTCATCTGCTGACACCCTTGGGGAGCAGATCCAGGTTAGCCTCGCCTGGGGCACATCCAGAGAGCTGTGACAGCCTCACTAGAGAGGAAGAGAACAAGGGTGTGGGGGCCCCAGGATCTGGAGTGGGGCCAAGGTGAGACGAGTGGCCGCTGCCCGTCACGGGGTCCCAAGAAATGCTCCTACTGCCATCCTCCTCTCCTGACCTTCTCAGAGTCATCGCAGGCCCTGGGAGCCTCTCGCACATCTTGTAGACTTGCCCGGTTGCCGTATTGTATTGCTCTTACCATTTTCCTTCCTGTCTTCACAGACCTTATTTTGAACTCAAGGGAAAGTACTACGTGCAGCTTGAGGTATGTGTGGCCTTCAGGTACGTCTCGGATGATATTTTTCTGCAGCCAAAGCCCTACTTTCAGCGTGGAAGCAGGCTAATGACCATTTACTGCAGGAGGAGAGTGGAGACACAGTCTTTTCTGTGTTTTCAGACCTGGCAGTGGTCTAGGTTGGATCTTCCCTAGTGCCTGCAGTGACCTCTGCAGATTGTGCCAGGGCTATCATCCTGCCCGTGTACCAGCAGCAGGTAGCAACATGCTAGAAATACAGATTCCAAGGCCCCTGGACCTTCCCCACACAAGTCAGAACCTCAGCAGAGGCCAGCTCTGGAGGATTCTGAGATAGGTTTGGAAACCACTGATCTAGGAACCACACGGCTAGACTGCAGGACCTATGTGATGCCCGGTGAGTCCTCCCTGTGGGGATGTAACCCACATTTGTGGCCGTTAAGAGCCTGGCACCGAATGGGCTCTGGTGCGGTGGCAGCAGGCAGAAGTGATGAGACTCCATCCAGGAAATTCTCAGATAAGAGGAAAATGTACTTAACCTGCCATTCAAAAAGCAGTTCACAGGCTGGGGACATGGCTCAGTGGTAGGGCTAAGCACCTGCCTGGCAAGCAAGGACCCAGGTTCCACCCCCAGTACTGCATGCCTTGCTGGCCCCTGGAAATCCAGGTGCACCAGGCATGGTGGTGCACACCTGTAATCCCAGTGCTGGGGAGGCTGAGACAGGAGGATCACTGCAAGTCTGAGCTGTGTAGGGAGACCCTGAACCAAATAAATAAAAGAGTTTCACAGGGCCCATAGGGCAACTTCCACTTAGGAGCCTCCTGTCCTCCCGCAGCAACTGAAGAAGACCGTAGATGACCTACAGGCCAAACTGACCCTGGCGAAAGGCGAGTATAAGACGGCCCTGAAGAACCTGGAGCGGATCTCAGATGAGATCCACGAGCGGCGGCGCTCCAGCGCCATGGGGCCTCGGGGCTGTGGCGTGGGCGCGGAGGGCAGCAGTACCTCTGCGGAGGACCTGTCAGGAGGCAAAGCTGAGCTGGACACGGTTTCTGGTGAGTCAGGCCGGTGGGGATCGCGCGTGCAGTGGGGCCCAGGGCTGTCCTGCCCCGAGGTCCCTGTGCCCTCTCCCCATCACCGCAGATCTGAGGCGGCAGCCCTGCCCGTTTCTGGCAGTTCGCACGTTGTGTGGAGTGCTGTGCTCATGAGACGCAGCTAAAGCTTTCTCCCACTTGTACTCGAATCCCTCTCTGAGAGTGTAGACCCGCCAGCATGCTGCGGGGCCCTGAGAAGCCCGGCAGCAAAGAGGAGCCGTCTCAAGAATACTGTGGGGTCAGATTTGATTCCCATCCTGGCCTTCACGTCATAACTAGTATTAAAACTTCACTTCTGCACCTGCAAAACAGAAAACAGACTATCTGCTTTTCTGCTTTTTTTTTTTTTTTTTGGCGGAACCGGGGATTGAACTCAGATCCTTGGCATTTGCCAGTCAAGCGCTTATCCTACTGAGCCATCTCCCCGGCCCTTTTTTTTTTTTTTTTTTTTTTTTTTTTTTTGCAGAACCGGGGATTGAACTCAGGCCACTGCACTTGCCAGGCAAGTGCTTATTCCACTGAGCCAGCTCCCCGGCCCCCACACTATCTGCTTTTGCTGTGCAGCAAGAGTGGCTAGGATTGTAAGAAGGCAGGCCTGGCACCCTGTGAGCACTTGGCAGCAAGTGGGCCATCACCGCCGTGGGCCTGAGGAGACCTTTGGACTTCGCTTCCTTTGCAGTCATGAAGAAAACTTTTGTCACTGTCTTTGAACACTTAACTGCTTTTGCTTTTGTGTGGAATAATCTCTGGTTGGCTTTCTCCCAGCCTCCTTTTGTGGTAATTCTGTAATTCTATCAGCAGTTGTTTGGATGTCAGATCCATAGGAAACTACGCATTGACTGACTACGGAGGTTGCTTTTATGTATATCATACTGTAAAATCTGTATGCAGAGGGTCTTGAAACAGAGAGGTTAAGTAACTGGACAAGGCCACACAGTGAACAGCGGAGTTAGGGTCTGAATTCAGGTCTCAGCCCATTTTCTGTGCCCAGTATTGCAGTTCTTAATCTTCAACTGCCTTCTGTGGGATGCTCAAAGGCTGTTTTAAAGAGCAAGGAGGTAAAGGGGAGTAGAAAAGACATAAGCAGACCTGTGTGTAGCTGCGGGGCAACAGCTAAAGGTCGAAGAGGCTCAGAAACCATAGGAGTAACTTGCCATCTCTGGGCCCGGGTTATTCCGGTCTACAGAGGAAGGCACAAGCTGCAAAGCACCTGTGAAAGGATTTTATTCTTTGTAGCAAACAGTGATCTGAGCAGGCTTTGAGTGGGCTTTTGATGAAAAATGAGATGTCCCTGGAAGGAAACAGACCACGCAGATAACGTGCCATACGGGGGACACATCACAAAGGGCTATGTGTCTTCTGGTGGCTTGATGCCGGCTGAATTCATCTTCCACCTTGAAGCAGTATCAGTGATACTGATTTCTAGGGCAGAGGCTAAGACTGCTGAAGACAAGGACTGTCCCTGTGCTCCTGCTGTTCCCCTCACGCTGCTGGGCAGGGCAGAGGAGCTCAGGGTCACATTGCTTTGCAAGGGGCAGAGATTCTGCAGTCCCGTGCTGGGTCTAGCTGCTGCCAGTGAAGCATACTGTGGCAGGAGTTTGAGGATCCAGGTTACCCCTGTGACTGGTACTTTCTCTTCTTAGTGGCCTCGGAGGCTTTTGAAGATGACAACTGTAGCAACTTCGTGTCTGAAGATGACTCAGAAACTCAGTCTGTGTCCAGCTTCAGTTCGGGACCAACAAGCCCATCTGAGGTGCCAGAGCAGTTTCCCGCAGTCACAAGGCCCGGCAGCCTGGACCTGCCCAGTCCGATGTCCCTGTCAGAGTTTGGGATGATGTTCCCGGTGTTGGGCCCTCGGAGTGAGTGCAGCGGAGCCTCCTCCCCAGAATGTGAGGGAGAACGAGGTGAGTGGCAGCCCCCTTGTCCTTCCCACGGCCTGTGTACTGTCTGTGCCTGTGCCGGGTCTCAGGGTGCCTAGGGCCACATTGCCAGGTTTTTGCAAAGGAGCTGCTCGTGGCCATCGCGGAGATTGTTTATAGAGGCTGCTCTGTAGGTTCGTGGCTCTTGACCAGTTTGATAAAGTAGAGCTTTGTTCCTCACCTACTACTTGGAAAGGTTTCTCAGCTACATAATAACTAATCTTTAATTACACAGAATGTATACAATGCTGTAAGGAATAAAAGCAGTAAACGACTCCCTGACAAAGAGGGCTCTCAGATTCTAATGTGTGTTGGGAAATGCTGGGCATTTTGAAGGGCTGGGCTGGGCTGGCTGGTTTGTGCTAAGTAACTTACAGCTGTCGTACCCGTTAGATAACGTTTGTTTTCCCACAGGAGACAGGGCAGAAGGGGCAGAGAATAAAACAAGTGACAAAGCCAACAACAACAGAGGTCTCAGCAACAGTGGTGGTGTCAGGGGTAAGAGCCAGAACAGCACCTCCCCCGAGGGCCAGGTCTTGGAGGCCCGGATGAAGCAGCTCTCCCTCCAGTGTTCGAAGGGAAGAGAAGGGATTCTTGCCAACATAAAAATGGTGCAGACTGGCTGATCCATTGAGCTGTGGCCCATGTGCAACAGAATAATACGTGAAACTGGAGAACATTGTGCCAATAATCGTTTAACATATGCCAAATCTTACGCATTTACTCAACTGCACTAATGAAGTTTCAGTGACCTTGAAAGCCGAAAAGTTTACTTCTGGTAAGAGCTCTTGGGCTGGTTTGTTTTTCAGAGCAGAGTTACCATAGGTGGAGGTCACAGCCTTTGTGGAACATTCCCTGTCAGAGGGTTGTGGAAGCAATAACTAGTTCCTGTGAAAGAACCCAAGCGAGGAACTGGGCTGGAAGCTTAGCTAAACTGAAGGCCATAACGGGAATCTCTCCCTTCTCTGGCCCTCAGTTTGGGGAAACTGAGATGTTCTCTCCATTGTATCCCAGGGCATTTAAACAGTTTTAAAAAAACAAAAAACCCACACAACAAATAAAACAAAGGTGTTCCTGAGAGCACACCTCTGTGACCTATGAAGGCTTAGATACTCCAAGAACAGAACGCATCTTCATCACCTCTGGGGTTGAGGGGGCTTTTTTAAAAAAGCATGTAGGCTGGGCCACTCTTGAAAACCATTTCCTAGGAAGGCTGCCGTGAACTGCACTTTTGGGGGTGGGGAAGGTGAATGTCAGCGTGGGGATGGGGGGTGAGGGTAGCAGGGACACATCCCGGAAGGGGACTTGTGGCTGAGGGCGAGAAGGGTCCACAGCGTAACCGGACCCGGCCGGCCACGGGGGTTTATTCTAAGAAGTGCATGTGAGGTATGGTTGCCACTGTTGTACCTAGATTGACAAGGTGTTCATTTCTATTTAGGTTGTAACTTTAAATGAAATTATTTAAGGGTTATGCTGCACTAGTTTTCCCTAGAGGAAATTGTCCTTAAAGCTAGGAAACGGAGTAGGCATGTGCTGGCAAAGGCTGTTACATAGAAGCAACGGAGTCTGTTATGCTACTAGTCGTGTTAAGACTGCTTTTATTATTTTCTTGGTTATGCATAGAGTGCTGTATTTCATTTGTTTTAAGAAAATTTAGCATTTCTAAAAGAAACAAACTGCCCGTTTTACGTTGTTAATCCTGTCACAGCCTGTATAGTCATTTGTATATCTTCATACTGTAGTAGTTTCTCCTTTTCTATCGACTGATACAGTATTCTGATTACAAGGTTATTTTGTACTTGTCTTAATACTTTGAGTGTAATAAAAACTGCTTAAGAAAAAATTTGTGTGACTTTTAAGAAATTCCAGTGCTGGGCCAGGGAAACAGCTCAGCAGCATAATCAGCACCTGCCCAGTAAACAAAAAGAAGACATTTCAGTGCTGCCTGTTTCTTCAGTTCTAGGTAACCTGTTACCAGCAAGATCGTCATGGAATGCAGTGGTCATTTGTTTTCACGTTAGGGTCCTGACGCAGTAACTTAAGCCCAAATACAAGGGTTGAGTTAGAATTACACATTTGCTACTACTAAAGAAGTGCGGTGAGGAGGCAGTGACAGGAAAATACTGGTAAGGCGGTTGTGTGGAGGAGAGGTCTGCGGCCCTGGGGACCCAACCGTGGCGCCTGGTCTCATCCCCAAGGACTGAATCGATCCGAGCTCCCGTCACACATCAGCTCATCAGTTCCCACGTGATTCTGAAGTGTTGCACAGATAAGAGTCAGATGCTGCCCGTGGCTCCTTCTGGCACAGTGCTGGGCTTTGCATCATCCATGGACTCTTTTCTGTTAAAGCGTGCTATCGGGGAAAGTGCAGGGTGACCCAATAACCATGAGGATCAATGTGTTTCACCTAGTAGTGTTTGCGCAAAGTTCACCAGGACTATTTGAATTCCAGGGACCCTCTTTTTGTGGTCTTTTCAGTTCTTATGTAAAATCCCTGCCTACTATGGATTCTGTCTCAAAAAAACATACTGAAGCGTTCGTGAATTACTGTTAGCAAAAACTGTTCAGGGTATTGCCCATTTTCCCAGCTAGGGGGAGCAGTGCCAAGTGGAAAAGCACTGGGATCGCCTGCAGTGCCATAAATGCTCCTCAAACTGTAGTTCGATGCTCAGAATCTAATGTGGGGTGAATTTCTGGCTCAAATATGTTACCTAAGAATTAAATCTTATATTTGCCTTTCATATATAGAAGACACAGAAGAAATTTATCTCTAATACTTTTTGCAGGGAATGGAAGTGGGATAGACTTTTCCAGCACTGGAACACACTCCTGTCTTCAGGAAGGGAAGCCTGTGCTGACTAATGAAACACTCCTGGATTGTGGGGCGCTCATTAACCCTCCCATGTTCACAGCAAAATGCGCTGAGGAGGGCATGGCTGGCTGCCGCTGGGGATCCTACTGGGGTCCTGGCTGCCACGAGGGAAGCAGCTTTGCTCTCCCACACCCTTCTGCCCTGATGGTTTTGGAGTCAGTTGACCACAGTCTGAAATCTTCAGAAACCATGAGCCAAATGAAACCCCTCCCAAGTGGCAGCATGAAGTTCTTTGTCCCAGTGTTAATGGTTTACACTAGATCAACCCCTCTATCCCCTGGGGAGGCGGCTGCTGTGTGACACTGGCTTAGTCCACTGATGCGTTTCAGCCTGGGCTCATGCTAGGCAGTGGGGAGCAGCTGGTCACCGTGGGTAGAGCCTGGAGACAGAAGTCTGTGTTGAGTGCCACTGTCCTACCTGCCCTGCTACATTTCTCCTCTGCTATGCTCCCGTAGCCCTGCCTTGGAACCAGCCAACTGGGGACTGAAAACTATGAATGGACTGTAAGTGTCTTATTTATGCAGATCTAAAATAAGACCCCAAACTTGGACTGCACAGTTAAAAGATGTGTGTAATGTTGAAGAGTGCACTACATACTCTTCCACAGTATGCGCAAGGACCCTTTCTCCTTTGTAGGTGAAAGCTATCCTTCTATTTGAGTCTTGCATATACAAACTTTTTGTACAAGTATAAAACATTCTAAGCATTGGGAGATGGCTCAGTGAAATAAGCCCTTCCCTGGCAAGCTCAAGGGCCTGAGTTCAATCCCCGGTTCCGCAAAAAAAAAAAAAATTAAGTATCAAGCTGGAATTTCTTTAATAATCTGCTATTAAAAGATTTTTTTTTTTTTTTAAATTTTAGGGAAGGGTTTACCAGGTGTTCAGGGTCTCACTACCAGATCAGACTCATAGTGATCCACCTGTTCACAGCCTCCCAAGAGCTGCGATTACAGGCGTGCATGACCACGCCCAGTCTCTAAAGGATTTTTGAAGTATGTATGTTCATGCAAATAACTCGAATGAAACAGTTGTCAAATTCACTAACATTAAACTGCATTTTCCATCAGTATAAATGCTTTATTCAATTAAAGGCAGCAGAAATACAAAATAAGAGGTTTTGATAATTATAAAGTAGAGACAATGAAAAATCCCACCCTATTAATTTTCAGACCTTCAAAATCTCAAGCATTCTGTTTGGATGGATTTTTATGTAAACAGCTAGGAATTGACACAACCCCAATTCTTGGCAACTCACCTTTTCTGAATGCCGTATAACCCATCACCACAGACTAAATTTTCAAGTTCTTCAATGCACTGTTACCACAAGAGCACTGAACTACAGAGTGATTTCAAAAGACTATACAAATTAAATTGTAATGTCTTTAGTACCTCAGATTACTACTTTCATCAACCTGATAAAAAAGACTGCAGCCATGAATACACCTCAACTCTCACTACGCTTCAATGGGAGATGAGCTCTAACTCAGTGACCTTTATTCTCAAGCCTGAGCATCTTCATGCTAAGCTAATCAGTACTAATTAAAGCTTTACTTTTATAACACCTGGGCAATAAACATTGAAAGTCATAAATAATGCAACAATTACAGTGACATGATTCATTTGGTAATCAGTTGCCCAAGATATACAGAGGGACTCAACACAAACAGATTTAACTAACAACATGCTTTCTAAAAATAAGCGAAAATTAATTACTTCAGGATATTAAAATAGTCTGCCATTTCATTCAGAGTCTACCTCCCTCATCTGATCTCAGCCTTGTCCTCTGAGCAAAGGCATCTCACAGTGATGACTGAGTTTGATTTTTTAATCATATATATTTTTATACAAAGTGGCTCCAAAAGGCAAGCCAACTCTATACACAAAACCATGTAAACAGTACTTGTAGGTGAAGAAGGTAATTCCGACTGTATACAATTCTTACCAAACACCATCACAAGCACCAGGTAGCAGTATAACACATCTGGAAACCTCTGTTCTGACTGTTCTATTTATTTTCCTCAAGATCGTATCCTCATTGAAGAGCTGATGCTTGGTAAGTCTAACTCCAGTTACTGACTTCTCCGTCACTGAAGTTGTGTTGTCTTGATGGGGATAACGCTGTTAAAGTCCAAGAAAAAAGGTCCTTCTTGTTTAGGCAAAAAAGTACTGGGAATGATATTAAAGATGCCAGATGGTATGTTTTCTAATTCCAGGTAGCAAAATCCACACCTAAATTCAGAGAATAAGAAAAAGGGTTGTAGAACATGCCATAAAAAGTATAAATTGGTTCCCTGGCAAGCGCAAGGGCCTGAGTTCAATCCCCAGTTCCACAAAAAAAAAAAAAAAAAGTATAAATTGGATGCAGTCAGAATGCCAGTGTTACCTGTAATCACCACTAGATTTCCTCTGAAAGCCATGGGGAACAGGATCTCCCACCAAAGAAACGGTTACAACCTCAAATCCAACGCTGTATTGCCTAGAAAAATGAACAGCATGGTTGTATTAGCAGGCTGCTCTGAGTAGATACATGACAAATCTATCCAGAGTGCAGGTGAGCTGAACTATCAGACCAACACACGTCCTGAAGCTTCAACAGGAACAGTACTCTGAAACCAAACTGGTACTTTTAACTACATTAAAATACCATTTATATTTCATTGAAGCCATGTAGTCTGAACACTGTATTAAGCTTCCTTTTACAAGAGACCATGTTAACCAATGTGGACAAAGATGATTTGGGTTCTTTATTCAATGGAGGACTACTTAGCCATAAAGAAGGATAAACTGGAGATATTTCTAAGGTAAATAGATGGACCTTGAGACCATACTCTTTTTTGGTCTGTTGGAAACAGGGTGCCTGCAGTTCAGCTCGCTTTGTAGCCCCAGCCTCACACTTGCAAGGATCCTCCTGCTCAGCCTCCCACAGGCTGGGATTACGGGTGTGGTGTGCACCTCCCAGCCCGGTAAGTGAGATACACTAAACACTCCTGTAAAGATCACATTGTTTCTCTGGTGTGAGCAATTGTGTAAATAAGGACCAAAATGTATACTAGAAATTGTGAAATAGGAAAAATGTTCGGACGGGAACGGGAGGGGGGTAAAAAGAAATGAGAAAAGGAAAAATGGAAACAAAGCTTTTGTAAATAAGGAGGGGAAGAAGAGCTGGAGGGAGGGGAGAGGAATGAGGGAAGTCTAATTACCACTTCTCACATGCAGACACTCATGGAGCCTCCCCACCCCTGCCCCGCCCCGCCCCTGCTTGCAGGCACTGTAATCTGCTGAGCTCTTTGGCCAGCCCTTGAGTTAGTCTTTTTTTTTTTTTGAGTTAGTCTTTAAAATATTACAAAATTAAGATTTCAATTTTAAATAGTTTGTCCAGCACTTGGAAGGCTGAGGCAGGAGGATCACTGCGAGTTTGAGACCAGTCTGGGCTACAAAGTGAGCTCAAAAGCATGACATCGTGTACGGGTGCAAATTCTGTACGATGACGTGATCATTACAGATACCTAAAAGGCACCAATAAACACTTCAAAAAATAAAGGATTTTTTGTCATAGGTTTCTCAGGAAATAATTCCAAAGATCAAACGCTGTCATTTAAAGGTAACAGACCAAATATTGTAATAGGCAAAAATAAATAAATAGCTGTGGATCAGGAAAAAAGCCCTAGAATAAAATCTAAATTCAAAAAAAACAATATGACACATGGCATTCCACATCAATAGTGAAATACAAGATTCACTTAGATGGTGATGAGGTGATAAAATTTTTGAAAAAAATTATTAAAACAATTTCATACCAAATACACCTCTGTATTCGAGAAGCTGTACTATTTTGTCTTCCCCATTTGTTTGTGATCTGCCTTGACGATGTGAGAAAGATCTAATTACCACTTCTTATATTTCAGATACTGAGCAATTCTATGCTGTTGACTGTCCTTCCCCTGTTCTTATATAATGCCTCATTACTACAAATCAAATGCCCACATTTTCATAGGACTGTTTCTTTGTCCCTATAAGATGCTTAATACAGCATCACTAATTTAAGAAAGCTGCTCGGCCGGGGAGATGGCTCAGTAGAATAAGCACTTGCCTGGCAAGCACTGGTCTGAGCTCAATTCCCGGTTCCACCAAAAAAAAAGAAAAAAGAGAAAGCTGCTCATCACAAACCTTGGTCCTCTCAGCTCGATGAGTAAAGGCCCCGTCTTCTCTATATGAAATTGGTAGATGGGGTTATTTTTGTGAGTTTCCTGGAAATTCCCACATCCTCCAGCACTCTGACCGCTCCACTTCCCATTGATCTAATTAAAAAAAGAGTTTTTGTATCAACAAAACTTCCCACTTTCCTTCCTACCTTTCCACCTTTTAAAAACAGAAATGTTTTAAAAATGTAAGCAGTTCTCAACTCTGGCTCCCCTCTTTCCAGTCTTATCAGCCACTGACAGTTGACAGCCCCCCACCCCCATGCCAGCTTGCTTCGCTGCCCCCCATCTGTCAGCCTGTAATTCTCCAGAGGATATTCCCCTTCACAGCTAGCCCACACTACAAGGTCATTCTGAAGGTGACGTGAAAGGCTCACACACATGGACTTCTTTAGCTACTACTTAGGTTTGTGTCCATCTCTCCTCTGACACTTATTTCCACAGAAAAACCTCATGCTGCTTAAGGAAGACCTGAATTCCACCTGAGATGGGAAGGTGCTTGTATTTCCCTTACATTCTTTGCAAATCTCAAAATGTTTTCATAAGCATAAAAAAGTAAAAAGTGGCCAAAGGAACCAAAGGGTTTTAAATTCTAAAAGAATGCTATTATCACCCAGAGAAAAAAATTCCTTACCCGTTTTGATAAGGTATATGGTGAAGGAATCTTTGAAAAAGTAAAGCTGCATGCAGAATACACCTAGATTTAAAAAAAAACAAACCACCCATGTGAGAAGGGAGATGATGCTGAGAAACTATACTTATTTAAAATGTCGGAGTAATGAACAGACTAGATATAATCTAAGGCTAAAAAATTAATTGGCAGACACAATAGGCAATGAACAGGTTTTAAGTCAGGTTTGAAATCTAGAGATCCTGCCTTGCTTTTTTTCTGTGTTCAACTCGGAGTAAATCACAAAAGTTTCCAGGTTTTAGTTTATGCATCTGAAGAATGAAGGTGCAGCAGCAATTCTCAATGTCTTTTATCACTAAAACTCCACTCAAGGTGAATTTCACATATATATGGCAAGCAAATCTGTACAGAACAAAGTTACAGTGAACTTCCCAGCTACATGAAAGCAACACTTTTATAAAGTGATTTAAAAGTTCTAAGTCACCTTTAGGCTGAGTGAGTTATTTTTTTCAAGGAATTTTTATTTCTTTAAAACAATTTGAAATTATTTTTAAAAACTTGTTTTAAAATTGGTCAGCCAGGTGTGTTGGTGCACACCTGTAATCCCAACACTGAAGAGGCTGAGGCAGGAGGATCACTGCAAGTATGAGGCCAGCCTCAGTTCCATACTGAGTTCAAGGCCAGCCTGAGCTGCACAGAGACCCTGTCTTTAGATATAGATGATAGATAGATTGATTGATTGATTGAATTTATCGGCCCAATACCACATCACAAGATTGTTTTTCTCTTTAAATGTAATTCAAAATGATTAACAATGCTCTCAAAAACAATTTTATAAATAATAACGTTCAACTGCTAAACATACAAAAATAGAAAATAATATGTTTTCAAAACTAAACATTTTCTTCCCATAATGCACTTCAAAAGCAGAGCACAATGGCACTGCCCACTGCTGGGTTTCAAACGTCACTGCATGATGATTTACTTACCCGCACTGTGTAATGGATTGTGTTCTGTTTTTCATACTGAGAAACCACTAATGTAAAGGTGTGGGTCCCAGGCGTGGTCAGCTTTATCTTAGTCAAATAATGCGGGCTGTTAATTCGAATTCCATCAATGTATGGAGGCGGGTCAGCTGCAAACACATAAACCAGTTTACAGAAAAGGAGGCTTTTCTTTTCATTAGTTGATAGTCAAGAAAGCACATGGATAGACATCCCCTGTGTTGATTTAGTCTTTTTTTCTGTATTTTTAGGGAAGGGTCTACAGGGTCTCACTGCGTAGATCGGACTTGTAGTGATTCTCCTGTTTACAGCTGCCCAAGAGCTGGGATTACAGGCATGAGCCACCATGCCCAGTCTCCATCACTGTCTCAGTGTGCCCTGGGGTGGGGCAGGCATGGCATGCCCAGGGACTGAGCCCACCCCCACCCCCGCCTCCGCCCCTGCACCTGCTTGCAAGCACTGTAATCTGCTGAGCTATTTGGCCAGTCCTTGATTTAGTCTTTGAAATACTAGGAAATTAAGATTTCAACTTAAAATAGGTTATCCAGCACTCGGGAGGCTGAGGCAAGAGGATCATTACAAGTTTGAGACCAGTCTGGGCTACAAAGTGAGCTCAAGGCCAACCTGAACTACATATCAAGCCCCTGTCTCAAGGACCAAAAGACAAAAAAGACCAAAAAAGAAAAAAAGACACATACACACTGAAAAAGCAGTTTGTAATAAGCACTAGTAGTCTTTTGGAATAGTCTGTTAGGTATAATAATCCTTGCTATTATTTGCTCATGTTTCATTTTTCTCCAAGAAAGGACTTTAAAGTCAGGATTAGTTTTTTTTTTTTCTTTTGAGTGAACAATTTATAAAAGAAAAAGTTTGTACGAATGTAGCTGTATTCCCTACCACTCAGACTTAAGTGAGTAATTCTTGGTGTCACATTAGCATTTTGTAAAAGTTCCTTTAAATCACCACCTTGATTTTATTCCTTTCCACTTTGGATTTGGGTAATACACACAAACACACCATCCTTTAGTGGATGAATGAACACAACTGTTCTTGTGTGAGTATAGTTTAAGCATCCCTAATCAGAAGATCCAAAATGTGAAGGATTTCAGTGCATTTTACATTAAGGATATTCAACTGTGAAGTCTATGGAAATATTCCAATATCTAGAGAAAAAAAAAATCCAGAACCTCAAACACTTCTGTTCAAATTCCTTTGCAGTACCCGCTCCTCTGCCCTCCCTCACGACACAGGAGAACTGCAGGTCAGGTCACAGGCCTGTTCTTACATGCCGTCTCCGAGCTCATGACTCCTCGTGCGGAACCTCCAGCCCGACCTTACCACAGAAGGCTACTCAGAACTCCAGCTGCCCACCTGGCATCTTCATGTGGATAAGCCAGAAGGGACCTTTTGTTTCGCTCTACAACAGATCTATCTGCTCAGTCACTCCTACTGGCCCAAATTCAAGCCACCATCATTTCTCACATAAATTAAATTCTAGATCGTTTCTCTGCTGCCAGTTCTGACATATATATATATATATATGTTCAACTGGGGATTGAAGTTAGGACCCTGTGCTTGCCAGGTAGGCACTTATTCTACTCATGTATCTCCCTGGCCCTGTAATTTTTACAAAAATATCCTCTTTTAAAGGCTGATCGTGTCTTTCTCTGCTTAGGATCCTCCACATCCTTCTCTGTTGCTCCCAGAATCTCACGGGATCTGACCTCTCTGATGCCCTACCATCCCCACCCATCCTAGTCTTGCTCCTGTTCCTACACCACACCAGTCTTACCACGCTCGTCCTTGCCCTTGCTGTCCCGTCTATAATGTTTCCCCTCCACTTTATGACTCCATCGTTTCTGTCCCTCAGGGTTCCTATGATCCCTTCCCAAAGAGAACCCTCATTTCCCAAGCAAATCACCAGGCAGTTACTAACACAGGATCCCATTTTATTTCTTGCACACAGGTATCACTACGTGTGTGTGTGTGTGTGTGTGTGTGTGTGTGTGTGTGTACGTACATGCTCCTGCATTTGTCACCTGTTTCCCCAACTAGAATAAATACTCCATGAAAGCAAGGTCCTGGTCTGTTCACCACTGTTACCCATGGCTTTAAAAGAATTCCTATCACTTAAGTGACAGTATTTTTCTGACAATGTTTTTTTCTGATTGTGAAAGCAAACAGGTTTCATACTGTGTGTGCAAAGTCTCAGGAGCTCTGTGTAGCTAAAGATGATCGGCCAAGATAATGCTGAAAACTACAGAATATTTTAAAATATTTTTTAAAAGACACTTAAGTATAAGGAATAAAAGTCTGATTGTAATGCACAAGAAAACAGAAATCCTGCCAGGTATGCTTAAATCACACTTGTAATCCCAGCTGTCTGGAAAGCTGGGGCAAGAATAATGTCAGTGTAGGCAATTTAGTGAGACCCAGTATCAAATCCAAATAGAAAAGGGAAGGGACTGTAGCTCAGTGGTAGAGCACTTGCATAACATGAGCAAGACCTGAGTTTCAACCCCCTGTATCGTAAGAAACAAAGCCAAAAATAAATAAATAAATAAAAAATCCCAAAATCCTGGAGTCTAAATTAAAAATGAGCCAGGTGTGGTTGCCCACACCTATAATCCCAGCACTCAGGAGGCTGAGGGAAGAGGATCAGAGTTTGAAGCCAGTCTGGGCAACATAGTTCAAGGTCAGTCTGAACTATGTAGTGAGACCCTATCTCAAAAAAAAAAAAAAAAGTAAAATACAAAAATAAAAATGAATCAAAATATACCCCATTTGTTTGAATGGCTTTAGTCTATCAGCTTATTTATTTCTGCATATCATCTACATGCAATTGGTCATATTTCATTTTAAGCACGTAAATAAAATGTTTTAATGTTCACTTGGCTAGTTAGCATACCTGGGTAATAGACCTTTTTTCCATCAGTCTTGTATACAACCATTGTGATAAATTCTCGATTGTTTGCAAAATCATCCTATAGACACACAGAATCCAAAGCAATGCAGTTAGGAGAACTGGCTCAAAATGTGCTTAATGTCAAAAAACCTTATGGCCATTTCAGCTGATTATTACAAGGCATTGTTTTTAATGATAAAAGTATCATTTTCATACATGATTCTACTGTATGAAATATTAAGATTCTAAGGTATTAGAGTTAGGTCAGCCACTTTGGAATCAGGTATGAGTCAACATTTCCAACCCCCTTTACCATATTTTAATGTTAACATCTATAATAAGGTCTGTGTATATATTCTCAACCTCCAAATTCTCACTGAAAAGCATAAACTCCTTATTTTCTTTAGATGATTTATAAATTTTAAGTATATGATTATAGTGTAAATATTAATTCATCTAAGAAGATACTATTTTCAGGGACCATATATGATGACACAGGCTGGCAATCAAATTATGTGTCTACTGATCCATATTTAAAAGCATTTCTCTGCAGCATGTCATTAGAAGGGTATCAATCAGTAAGTACCTTGTCCGTTATGTGTCTACTAAGCAAAACCCAAACTGCAGCGCCCCCTTGTGGACACTGCACCTCCAGTTTGTACTGGGGGTTGTTGGCCAGGCTATAGGCATCTTTCACAGGTCCTTGCTTAGCATCCCAAGTACTAAAAGATAAAGTCAACAGAGAAAGCAGTGATTAAATTTCTCACAGGGCTAAAACATAACACTACTTTAAAGAGGGTTGCATTTGAAGTACAATTAAGCTATCATGTTATTTTATTTTACTCTTTTTAAAATGTTTGGTATACCAGGAAATACAGGACAAAAACTACTACAAGATAGTCATCCACAGCCAGGAAAAACAAAGAGGAAAATGCTAGTCCTAAATTAACCATTATATTTCAAAATTTTAAAGAGGAAAATATTATAAAGCATAATGATATGTTTAAAAAGTTACCTGTGAATACATGTCGATTCTTTAAAAAGACCTGGATTCCAGCTCAAATAAATCACATCATAATACTGACAGAGATCATCCCAGGAAATCCAAAATATTCCTGAAAATTAATGATTCTGTTAATCTAAAAATAACTTCATAAATTAAGTCAGTTAAATACATTATACCTTATTAAAACGTTATTTGAAAAATGGTACTACAGTTATAAAGACATATTTACCATTATCTATTTTCTGAGCTGTTCGGGGATCAAAGTTTAAATATTTTTGTAACTCTGGAGTCCAGTTTTTTACATCATTTTCACTATATCTTCCTTTCCAACGTAAATGGCTCCAAGGATTTTTCAACTGGATAAAACGTAGTCCCTATATGTGGAAAAAAAAAATTCAAAAGCAGAAAGCTACGCTGTACCACTCGTCACTTTGGCTCTCATCTAGTCTTTCACAATCCCGTAAAAGATCTTTAATTCTGCCCTGCAGGGCAATAGCTCACGCTGCTCCCTTTCTCCGAAAGCTTTTTCTTACCTGAGTCAACCCAAAGCAGAAAAGCAAGAACAACATGAACTCAGGAGTCAGAACAAAATAGGGCCCAATTCCAGTGTATGGGCTTTGGGTGTGCCACTGAGACTGGATGCATTTACGTATGCAAAAATGAGAATGATGAGGTCTTCCATGAAGACTGAAGTAACATACACAAACTTGCAGTAATTTCTTCCTTTTAATGTTTTTCCTCTACATTTTATATACCGACAGTATGTATTATACTAGCTCAAAGCAAAGAATATTTCATTTTTCCTTTTATGTATTTGGTACAGGGTCTCACTACGCAGTGCAGACTCATAGCGCTCCTCCTCTTCTCAGCCTCCCCAGCACTGGGATTACAGGTATGCGCCACCACTCCCAATCTCAGTAGCCCACTCAGTATGCCCAGGGGCAGGGCAGGCAAGGCATGTGGTGCCTGAAATGGTAATCCGGTCCCAGCGCTTGCCTAAGCAGGCATTTAGCAAGAATACTTAATTTTACATTGTTTTCTACTTGTACAAATGTGTCTTAATGAAATCATCAATTCTTTGTGTGTGTGTGTGTGTGTGTGTGTGTGTGTGTGTGTGTGTGGTACTGGGGATTGAACTCAGGACTCTGTGCTGTCTAGGCAAGCACTTATTTTACTGAGCTATCTCCCTAGCAAAGGACTTTTTTTTTTTTTTTTTTTTTGGTGGCTCGGGCTGCCTGAAGAGGAGGGCTAGCTGGGGATCGAACTGCGGTATCCTGCTCCTGACTACCTTTGCATGAGCAGGCGCTTCAACAACGAAGCTAAAGGCAGGCCCCCGAGATCATCAATTCTTTGAAATGGTAACATTATCATCCTTTTTGAGAAATCTTCACTGAGCTTATAGAATAGAGTTAATGTTATAGTAAATGTTCAAATTACTGTCTTTGTCTACAGAACTGATTACAATGACAGAAAAATTTAAAAGCTGGTAATTCCCAAAGAACATGTGGAAGCAGTCCTGTGTACTTTTTCTCATGATGACCTAAATCAAATTAATTGGGGGATTTTTTAAAAGCCCACATTCATTTGTATTTTAAATGATGGCAAATTGTGGTCTGAGGTAAAGGTGGTTTCCTGATAAAAGTAAACTCATTTTCTCAGGCCACATTCTCTACAAACTTTGTGACTATTTATTTTCTCATTGTTTTCTATACCACTGGGGCCTCATCACACACCAGTCAGTAGGTATTTAACTCTACATCTTCTCTTTTCATAAAACCTATCTAGTTCTACCTGAGCAGGAAATCTCCCTCATTTCATGATTCCTCTACTTGTGCTTGACATTTTAGAGGCAGGTCCCAGGCACTAGGAATAATTCAAAGACATATGGCTAGAGATTTTTACTGAAGAGTAGAAAACAGTTTGAAGGGCCCCAAACAGGAAAAAAAAAATTGCTAGAGAGATTTTTTAAAAAACAAATAATCTGGTTCATGCAAAAATATCCCATTCCCAGAGTTATTTCCAACTATCAGAAAGGAAAAATCTTGGATATACTCAGAAACCCCATGACAGGACTGGGCTGAAAGAGCGGTACTTCCAAGGTGGACTGTCCCCAGCAGACACAAAATGATGCAGGGGGACAGCTGCAACCAAAAGGAGTAAAGAATAACACTTTTATGGAAGTATTAAAAAACTTTAAGAAAATTTTAAGTGAAAAAGGTCACAAATGATGCAAGAGGGTAACTTTAGTCTGTGTGAAAAGAAGAGGTTCTAAAAATAAATGCCTGAAGAGAAAAATGGAAATATTTTAAAACAGAAGTCAGAATTAAGTAACTGTCTCAAAATATGGAGAAAAGAACTACAAAAATGACACACTCAAGCCACCTGTAACCCTAGCACCCAGGAGGCTCAGGTGGGAAAATCAAGAGTACAAGACCACCCTGGGCATCTCAGGGCTGGGAATGTAGCTCAAAGACCCTGGGCTCACTGGCAAGATGGCTCAGTGGACTACGCACCTGCTTAGGCAAGTGCAGGGACTGGGGTTTGATCCCTGGCACGACATGCTGTGCTGGTCCCGCCCCTGGATACACTGGGCCTGCCACTGAGATTGGGCGTAGTGGCACATGCCTCTAATCCCAGTGCTGGGGGTTGAGGGGGGGGGCTGAAAACAGGGGGAGCACTACGAGTCTGAGCTGTGTAGCAAGATCCTGTACCAAATACATTAAAAAAAAAAAAAAAAAAAAAAGACACTGGGCTCAACAACAACAGGATAGGACCAGTAAATTCTTCAAATATACAGGCAAAGATGAACTGTGACTACACAAAGAATTCACAGAAATGAAAGGAGATTACGGCCAACTTCTTGTGAGACCTCTGCTCAAGATGGCTGATGGCATTTGGGATCAGAAATTTTCATAACATCACAAAGTGAATGTGAGCATTAGCACAGTGAGGCAACCTGTCACCAAGCCAATATATGTCATGTCCCTGTGCTGTTAAAATGGCTCAGTCTTGTAGAATCACTCCTATAAAGAATTGATACTGTGTAACTAATGCTACTATTTTTAACTAGAAAGGCTATTATTTGAAACTTTTTAAATTACTGGCATCCAGCAATTTTTAAATGTTTTGTCTTCACATCAGACCAGTGATGTGTTTCATTTCCTTTCTATTTTGTTTTTGTTTGAAGACAGAAGACAGGGTGTTGCTATGCAGTTCAGGCTGGTCTCAAATTCACTATGTAGACTAGGCTGGCTTTGAACTTCTGGTGATCCTTCTACCTCAGCTTCCTGAGTACTAGAATTGCAGGCATGCACCACACCTGGCCACCTTCCTTTTGATCAGAACAATCTTATTTAAAATGGTTCTTCCACCTTTTTTTTTTTTTTTT